AAGACCTAAGGCAGATAAAAACTGACTTTACTGAAAAGTTAGGAGATATGCCAGATTGCCTGGAATTGGATCTAACCAAAGGAGCTAATCCTGTAAGTAAAAGGGGAGACTGAGGGACTCCCAGCAGCTGCCAAAGCCATTTTGCTTTGGGGAACCACCTCTTCTTCCCTGAACTGTAAGGATTGCTCCATCTCTGTCTACTTAAAAAGAAGGGGACACTGAATGCAGTAAAGTCACCACACTGAGACCCTTTTACACCTATAGTTTCCTCTATGTGAAAACATCTGGTCCACTCATGGGAAATCTATTGTGCCACTGATAGGAGTCATAATTAAATGGGAGTTAAAAACCTGGAGAGATTTTTCTCTTATCTGGTCTGTTTTAAAGGTTATTATAGACTGTTCTTGGGGATGATCTTGCTGAATGTGTATCTAAAAGATGATTTTCTATTGTAACAATCTGGTATCTAAATCGGTTTTTGAAGCATTGCACAATTTTGCAGTTAGAAGTTGGGTTTAGGTAATTGTTTAGTTTGTGATTTCAGATAATTCATGCCAGAGAACTTAAATACTTAGGATAGAAAATTTTAAAAACTCTACTTCCAAGTTTGCAAGTAACTCCCAATCATTTAGTTTTATTTTTTTCATCAATTTTTGAACTGGGTAGCCTGAGAAGATTTCGCTAGGTGTACCAGTGCATTAATTTGGGCAAGGATAGTAAATTATGATTTGGTATCTGTTTCTCTCAGTGTGTAAGATTTAAGAAAGGAAAGTGTTGGATTGGAACGCTGGTCTGACTTATTAAAATGACATTAAATAACAACAGTCTTGGAAATTTTTAAATCTTAATTTTGGATATACATGGTAGTGTGTAGTTCTCTTTTAAAATTATTTCAGGTGACTTAATGTAACTTAATACTACTTTAGGAACTTCAGAACAAAGAAAGTGGCTTAATGATCCTAAAGAAATTTCTTCTGATGGTAGCTTAAGATCCTATTTTCAGTTTTGTGTGAGCACGTTTTTCTAGTGTAGGAAAATGTAAAGGTATGAAATTTTATAAATTGTATCTTAAACTTGTATCATAATTTTCAACAACCAAACCTGGAAATTATGACTTATGGTTAAAATGCCTTAGGCATGAGGTTTCTGCTCAGAATTCCAGTTTTCCCAGTTCCTTCCAGACCTCAGCCAGGACTTAAGTTGATATGCAAATAAAAGAAGCCTGGAGCTCAGTAGGAGACAGATCTGATGCCCAAGGAAAAAAAAGAGTAAAAGTGTCTTTTTATGGAGACTCAAACTAGATTAAACCAAAGAGTAAATTGTATGACATTTACTAATTACTAGCCGGTCAATTTTTTTCTAGGATTTGCCTTTTCTTAGATTCTATTTTTTTTGAGCTCATGATTTTGATCCTACAGACAAGTTAATGTTTTTATGATAAATTCTATTTTTGATCAACTGGAGTTTTTTTTAAACATTACAATGAGATTTCACCTGAGAAAGCTACAAGGCCTTTACTATTGTGTTATGTGTTGTATGTCGGTATGTCTGTATGTGTATATGTCCATATATCATGCAGTGATATGACAATGGATAGATATATGAGGAGCGCTCAAGAAAAATAAAAAAAAATGGATCCAAATATCTTTGATTCACGTAATTTAAATGATTCAATTTAAATTGGGTAAACAGATGAAAGTAAAGATGTCTTTAAAATTAAGCTTATAAGTTTTTCTAGGTGTTCAAAAAAGGCCCTAATAAAATATTAAATCTGCTTAAATTAAAAAATTTACAAGTATTGTTTTAAAATGTGAACAGAAGGAGGTTAACAGATGAAAAAGAGAAACTAGAAGGTTCTAGGTATGGATTTAATAGAGGGAAAATGTGTTTCTGGATAAAAGTCTATATGATTAAGTAATTGAGAGGGTTTAATTAAGTGATAACGAAGGTTTGTGTAAGTTGGTTATATGTGTAAGTTTTTGAGCAAGTAATCTTAAAGAAATTAAACAGCTAGATAAACAAGTGCTGTTATTTTAGAGAATTGTGCTATGTTATTTCTTTAAAAGCTAAATTTGGTTAATATAAAAACATCAATGTAATTGTGGTGCTATTAATGTGTTCATATCTTCCAGGTATACAAGTCTCTAAGGTAGAAGCTTTAGAAAGAGCATTATATCAAGCTGTGTTCTCAAGTTGTATAGTAATTTTAGGCTTAACATGAAAAACATGTTGGAGATTTATTTATATCATTTGTGTTCTATAACTGGACTTATTATCAATAAGTTATGTAAAGTTCTATGTTACTTTTTACACTGAGATACAATTTAAATGTATTTTTAAGTTAATGAGAACCTAATCTATGTAAAGGTTTTATTGCAAAACACAAAAGTACTTTGCTACTTTTCTACAAGAGGTTAAAAGCTTTTAGCTTTTCTTTAATTCATGTTTTAGATGTGATATTATATTGTGTTATATTGTGTTAGCTAATATTCATGTAAACTTGAGCAACAATTTATGTAGGCTTTGTAAAATGATGTCTAAAAAGTAAAGATGAGGGCTGGGGATGTGGCTCAAGCGGTAGTGCGCTCGCCTGGCATGCATGCGGCCCAGGCTCGATCCTCAGCACCACATACAAACAAAGATGTTGTGTCCGCTGAGAACTAAAAATAAATAAATAAACATTAAAAAAAAAAAAAGAAAAGATGAGCTTCAGAACTATAGTACTTAAGGTGGGAACCCCGCCTTACCTGAGATAAGGCTCTATGTCCCATCTCACTACATGTGAAAGTGACTATGAAAGAAGTAGGCCAGATTTCAGTACATTTAAAGTTGTGTCCAAAAGTTGGTTTTTTGTCACAATTACCAGGATCTCAAACAGAGGATATAATGTATAACTCTGCCAAAATTCAAGGTAGCTATTGCATGAACTAAATATGTTTTTACTCTAGTTAATTTTATTTTGTAGTTTTCTTATAAATGATCTAGAGATTGCCTGTTAATGTTTTGCAGAGGTACTGCTTTAAGAACTCACAACCTGGGTTAAGATAAAGAGTTATCACCTACAGGATAGAGAGATAGACATTAAAACCCAGTACTCTTAATATAAGGCTGTTGAAATTTATTTGCTGGATATTTAAGATTAAATTTTTAAATTAAAGTTAAATTAAAAGGGCCAAGAAAACCAATATTTGGCTCTTTCCCTCTGAGTCAGTCTGAATCCAGGGAACAGGGGACTTCTCCAAAGAGCTTTGCAACTCTGGGCCACATAACCTCCCGATCAGGGAGATTAATGAGACCACTGGAGGATAGAAAGCCAATCAGTGCATTTGCTGTGAAGAGGAGGGTCATCAGAAAAGGGAGACATCCCTGATGCTTCCAAGGGAAGCCACATGATCAAGCAAGGCCTGGACCCATCCTAGCGCAAATGGCACTAGCAGAACTGAGAAGCTGCTGTAAAGTTCCCCCAGGACTCCCAGGGAAACTCAGCTGACTGTTAACAATAGATAGAAACAAAAGTCAGTTTGACTTGCTTCATCTTAAACACTTAGCAAAGACAGTCAAAGCCAAAACACAGCTATTCCTGGGCATTTTAAATGATAATAATAGTTAAATGTAACTTCCAAGAATAAGTAAACTGGAGGCTGAAAAACAGATTCTCAGACAGGAATGCCTGATAACTATCAAAAAGAACTGCCAGAGTAGTTTTTAGTTTGAAGCCTACAGCTATTTCTAACCTACACAGGTAGGCTTAGTGTTTACTAGTATGGTTATCCAGCCCTAAGTAACAGAATTAAAGATTTCTCTATTAGACACAGAGGTCATACTAGTAAAAGGATTTTGCAAGATCAGATGACATTAAATTATTAAACTGTATCTTAAAGGGAAGGACAACTGTAACCCTAAAAGTTAAATGTTGTGTTTATATCCCTGACAATTCTGGCAATGTGACAAATATCCTCAAAGATTTACATGCTCAGATAGAAGCATGTCCTCAGCAACTTTGTCATGGAAACAATATCTTAGCTCCTGGTTCTCTGGTACTTCCTGGTGGAAAACATTATTAGTCTTTGTCTTTGTCATCATACTCATTGGCATGTTCCTGTGCTGTGGCATTTATTGCTGCATCAATCTGGTTCCAGTACTAATAAATTCTTGTTTCTCTTATAGACCATCCATCACTCAAATGGCCTTCCAGCCTATTACTTCTCAATCGGACTTCTATCATGGACCACTCAATAGACCCGATTTTTAAAGGGGGACTCCAAACTGCTTGCCCCACACCATCCCTTTTCAGCCTTAAGAAGCCAGAAGGATCTTCGCCCCCTTTCCTTACAGCAGTAAGGAGTTCCCCAAATTAGAGGGAGGAATGAAGCCAGATTTAAAATTAGGTAGTCAGTGTAGTTAGGTAAATTGGGTCTAATATCATATCGAGTGAAATCTAAAATGGAAGCACAAGACAACTCATGGAATGTTAATGAAGTCCCAGAAAGGCCCTAGGCCAAAGTCCACCCCAAAGAAGTTAATGGAGCCCAGGAAACAGCCCCCAACAGATTTGGAGATAGCCCATCCCAAAGAAGTGATAATGAAGTCCTTCCTGCCCAGATTACTTCTTTAGCCCACCTGTGTCCCAACCCTTCCCCCTTACATTCCATCACCAAAACGATAAAAAGGGAAGACAACCGCACTTCCACGGATTCCACCTCTTGGATCCCCTGCTTCCTCCGGGAGAAGTCTTTTCTGCTGTCCTTTAATAAACTTCTAATTTCTACTCTGACCTTGCCTTGGCGTGCTTCTTTGGTGTTATTCTTCAACACTGGGGAAGCAAGGACTTGTCACCGGTCAACAGCGGTAACAACTTTTGCAGGCAAACAAGATTCAACGCATACGTCTGTAATCCAAGCAACTAAAGCTAAGGCAGAAGATCACAAGTTTGAGACCATCCTGAGCAAATTAGCAAGACATCCCCGCCCTCACCTTAAAAAACAAACAAACAAACAAACAAACGTGTGGAATAGATATATTAAGGATATGGGAGTATGATGGAAGCAACTTAAAGCTGGATCAGGTCAAATGATGCAGTGCGGTGGTAGAGTTGAGCACCACTGGGTTTGACCCCTAGAGAGGGAGGAAGGGAAAAAAAAAAACTCAATGGCCCCAATATTGTGAGGGTATTTCAAAGAGGTCCAAGCAGCTGGATCTGGAGGTAAGGAAGGGAGGAGTATTAATGTAAGATTAGTTAAGAGGAAGAGGTTACTAGTGGAACCAGACTGATAAGGCTCCTTCAACCCATCTGAACAGTTTCGGTGATTTGCTTCCAGGGAGGACAAGGTCGTTCTTTCCAGCTGAGAAGCAACACAATTCAAGACACCATCTTTGTGGTCTTAAGAATTTGCAAAAACCTAAGAGACCCATTATCATATTTAATGTTCACTGCTATATCTGGTTACCACAGTAACCAGAGGAAAACTTGAAACGAGTCCAAAAAGCAACAAACAAAGAACAGGTAGCCGAGAACAGTCACAAGATGGAGGACAATAGGGTGAAGAAAAGACTCGGCAAAAGCGTAAGGATAGAACCCTACCTCCGTGGGGAAGTCACTCTAAATGTAGGCCCTTCTGCACTATTGGCTCGACTCCCACTCTTTTTCCTTTTCCATTGGCTACCGGTTTCTGACCTGGGTCAAAACAGCCAATCGCCTCGTTCCGTGCGTAAAGCCCGTCCTATTCGCTGGGGAGGAGGAGCCAAAAGATCGACGGGGGGGGGGGGCCAGGGCGCTTGCGCAGGCGCGCGCCCCGCCGGTTAAAAGCGGATCCTGGCCGAAGGCGTTGCCGCGGTACATGAATATTGATTACGCAGCGCAGCGCCGAACGCCCGCCCCTTTCGGCTGCCGACGCTCGCAGCTCGCGCTCGGGCTCGCGATGGGGAAGAAGTCCCGGGCGGTACCCGGCCGCAGGCCCATCCTGCAGCTCTCTCCGCCAGGTCCCCGCAGCAGCACGCCGGGCCGGGATCCGGAGCCGGAACCTGACACCGAACCGGATTCGACGGCGGCGGCTTCTAACCAGCCAGCCCCGCCGGCGGCGGCAACGACGTCGACGACCCCCGCGGTGACTGCTTCCGCGGCCGCGGACGACTCGCCTTCAGAAGGTAAGGGTGCGCCTATTTGGGACGTCCGAAACTCGAGCGCGGGGCTTGCGGCCTAGGCTTCTAGGGGCGCTTCCTGGACCCCGTAAGGGAGAGAAGCCCGGGCGGGCGGGGTCCACCCTCTCGAGGCCCTCCTGTTCGGGGACTGCGGGGAGGGCGGCGGAAGAGGCCGGCAGAGCTGTGCGTGATCAGCCCGGGCCCATCCCAAGGCGCCATTGCATGTGGCTGGCAGAGGGCTTTCCCCGGGAACGTTTGAAATCCGACTGAGGCCTAGGCACCCTGGGCTCCCAGACGTCCCGGGGTGGGTTTTGATTACGTAAAAGGGTAGATGGGAGTTTCGGCGTCTAGGCTAGTGACGGTGGAACCTGGCCTTTTCTACACGTCACCTGCGTCCTTTGGTTTTTTTTTTTTTTAATTGGGATAGAGACTCTTTAGAAATGAATACACCCTTTTTATTATGCCAAACAAAGCGTTAGTATCCCCGAACTAACAGGTATCCAAAAAATTCCTGGAGAAATGGGTTCCCAAGTACTTGTGTGGTTCTCCCTGAAATAGTACTTAGATTAAGAGTAACTGTATGACGTCGGCACACAGGAAGGCGCCGAAGAAGCCGACCATTCAGGTATTGATAAATCACGTTAAAAAAACTCGTGCAGGACATTGAGTAGCGATGTATGTTGCAAAAACCTCATGAAAGGCTGGAGATTTATTTATTGTCTTTGTGTCTGAATTTTGAAGTATTACAGATCTAATTTTTATATCCCGCATTCACATTCTTAAAGTTGAAGTTACTAGGCATATGGAAGGTTCTAGTAATGGCTGTTTTTCATCTGCCACTTATTTGGGTCATTGATGCGCCCTGTTTTTAAGTTGATGGAATCTAGACCAGAAACGGCAGACCTATGATTGATTTTTCATCTCTGGTGTTTTTCTGTTCCACAGGCTAACTGCAGTTGTTTTCCTTTTGTTCCTTTTTAAAATACAGATGAACAGGAAGTGGTGGTGGAGGTTCCCAGAGTTGCTCAGAACCCTCCAAAACCAGTCATGACTACCAGACCCACAGCTGTTAAAGCAACAGGTATAAATTGTTTTGTTTTGTTTTGCATCTGTAGAATATCTTAAGTTAGAATGCTTTACTGAATTCTTTGTTGCTAATTTCTATTTCCCCCTTAAAGTGTAATTTAAAATCTTTCTGGGTCTGGGATTGTAGCTTAGTAGTCGAGGGCTTGCCTAACATTTGCAAGGCCCTGGGTTTAATCCTCAGTGTCACAAACAAACCCTTTCTGTTTGTGAGGGCTTGTTGGCAACTACTCTTTTTCTTTTGCTGTGTTGGGCCTCTATCCCAGGGCTTAGTGCATGCTAGGCAAGCACTCTACCACTAAGTCACATCCCCAATCTGGTAAATATATCTTAAGCAATGCAAAATTTATGTTTTATCTCTGTACCCAGATAATTTGTACTACTTTTTCTTCGAATGTTTTTTTGTAGTTAGTTTTCTAGCCCTTCTATTAACTTGGTGTTCTTTAGGGACATTTAGACACCAAACATATTTTCATATTGTTCCTTTCCTAACACTGCCTTGATTGGTATTCTAGCATCTACTCTGTGGATCTGAAAATGGTTTGCATTAAATATTTTTTAAGCACAAGGAATATTTGCTGCAGTGGTTTCATAAACAAACTTTCATGGTAGCATTCATTGTTAAGACTTTTGAGACAATTAATTGGGCCCAACATGTATAAATGGATCTTATAATCATGAGTTATTTTGAGTATCAAACTGAATAATGTATATAAAATTGGTCCCCTATAAGTGCAAAGATGTTAGTTTTTTCTACCTTATATAGTTTGAGAGATTAAAACATGTTTACTCTCAAATATTCTTTAGAGCCATGCATGGCAGCACACACCTGTAATCCCTCTGGAAGGCTGAAGTAGTATCATCACAGACTGGAGGCAAGCTTAGGCAACTTAGCAAGACCCTATCAAAATTAAAAAGGGCTGGGGATGTGGCATGTGTGTAGAGCACTTGCCTACCATGTGTGACAACCCTGGGGTAAATATTCATTATCTCAAAAAAAAATCTATAATTGGTAGTAATTATATTTTTAGTTTGGAATATGTCTTGTACTATTTGACACCTAAAATAATAGATATTTATGCCTCCCTCATACCATCTGTCACTTAAGAAAACAGTGTGGGGGTTGGGGTTATAGTTCAGTGGTGGGGCACTTACCTTACACCTGTGAGGCACTGGCTTTGATCCTCAGTACCACATACAAACAAACAAACAAATAAATAAAAGATATTGTGTCCATCTAAAACTAAAAAAAAAAAAAAAAATTGAAAGAGAACAACATTGTGGGTTGGAAAAACTAAAACTTGGTTATGAAATTTCAGAGCCGTGTAATACCATTCTCCCTAACCCCCTTTTTATTTTGACACAGGTTTTCACTAATTTGCTGAGGCTTGCCTTGAACTTAGGATCCTTCTGCCATACCATCTCCTTATTAATTATAGGTGTGGCCACCAGGCCAGGCAAACAAGAATTTTTCTAAAGGACAGGACTTGTCCTGAACAGTTGTGAAATTGCAAAGTTTGTGTCTCTGGGCTTCCTTTTCCATCTTATTCTCAAACCACCAGACTTTCTTGCCATTGTATAGTCTGGTTGTTTCATCCACTGAATGTTTCATGTGAAAAATTACCTTTTTGTCACAGTCATTCAAGGCTTCTAAGAATTGTGAAGATGTATAGAATTTAATTTTTTCCCTAGGAGCCATCTAGGCACCAAGCTTACTTTTTTTTTGGTGTGTGTGTGTTGGGAGCTACCGGAGACTAAACTCAGGGGCACTTAACCACTGAGCTGCATCCCCAGCCCTATTTTGTATTTTATTTAGAGATGGTCTCACTGAGTTGCTTAACACCTAACCCGTTGCTGAGGCTGGCTTTGAACTTTCGATCTTCCTGTCTCCTGAGCTGCTGGGATTACAGGCGTGTGCCCTATTTTTTTTTTCCCCCCAAGATGATTTTGGTTAAATTTTATTATTATTATTTTTTTTGTGTGTGTGTGGTACTGGGAATTAAACCTAGAGGTGCTCTACCACAGAGCTACATCTCCAGTCCCATTACATATATATTTGTATATTTTATATATATTTATATTTGGGGAGGGAGTCTGGTACTTTCACACTGAAAACTACAGTGTATGCATGGGAAATTACCCAGGAAAAAATTTGGAATGATCTCTATTAAATTAGGTCAATAGACCACTATGGTAGTCAATAGTATTAAGCATCTTTGAGAAAGGGGTATTTAACGTGGTTCTACAGAAGATCTGCAGGGGTCCATGAATTCTCCGAAATTGCATACTCAAGAGTGTGTGTGGGGGGGATTGTTGTTGGTTTTTTCGTTTTTTGTTTTGGTTTTTGGTACCAGGGATTGAATCCAGAGGCACCTAACCACTGAGCTACATCCTGAACCTTTTTTATTTTTTATTTTGAGATAGGGTCTTGCTAAAATGCTGATGCTGGCTTTGAACTTGTGGTCCTCCTTCCTTTTTTTTTTTTTTTAATTTTTTAATTTAAAGTTGGACATAATACCTTTACTTATTTACTTGTTGTTATTATTTTTTAATGTGATGTTGATTCTCAAACCCAGTGTCTTGGACAAGCTGGGCAAGTGCTCTACCACTGAGCCACAACCCCACCCTACCAAGTATGTTTTTTAAGAGAGGTTTTATAACGGTAGTTGCTGTTAAGTTTCTATGACTCAGGAGTTACAAAGCACTGAGAAAGCAAGGAAATGGTAATTATGAAAATATAAGGCATAGTATTTGAAGCCTATCTAGAAGGAAGGGTATGTACCTGAGAAGTAATTTACTATCTGCTATAGTTATTGGATTTGCAAATTGGGTGGCACTGTGATTTCGTGAATATACATTTGGGTTTTTGTTTATTTTCTTTTGTTTTTCTTGGTATTGAGGATTGAACCCAGGGTCTCGCACAGCTTTTGTTTTATACCAATCTACAGCCCTTTTTATTTTAAAACCAAGTGTCCCTAAATTGCTGAGGCTGGTCTCAAACTTGCCATTTCTTTTGCCTCAGCTTCTCACATGCCTGGGATTATAGGCTTTCAGGTGCCCCTAGCTTATTTTGATTTTTGTTTTGTTTGGGGATTGAACCTAGGGGCTCTACCTGGGAGGCAAATGGACTGCCACTGAGCTACATCTCTAGGCCTATGTATTTTGTCTTTGTTTCCCTTTGCTGGCATAAAACTTTTAAAATTCTTTGAATCTTCAAAGTGATAAAGTGGTTTTTTTTTGCTGTGCTGGGGATTGAACCCAGGGCCTATGCATGCAAGGCAAGCACTCTACCAACTGAGCTATGTCCCTAGCCCCTATAAAGTGTTTCAATATGCTAACAAGTTTATTAATGGAGGTGACAGGCCCTAGATAGCTTCAGGATAAGTGGGGCCAATCACCAACTTATAGAGAAGGGATATGGTCTGAAGGCTAAGTTGATCACCAGTGGTATGATTTAATCATACCTATGTGAAGAAGCCTCCATAAAAGCCCAGAAGAATTAGAGCAAGTCTAGAAGTTTCAGAAGGCTGAAGCAG